ATAGGCACCTGGCTGGGGTCTTATGACCCCTGCCATCCCCAGTGCTCCTTCCTGCCCATGGCAGGGGGTCAGACTAGATGATCTGTCTAGGTCCCTTCTGACTCATTGATTCTATGATTCTATGATTCTATTTATAGACATCACAACAGAGATCTGTCCAGGGAGCATAAAATGTCAAGGAGGGTATTACTAGCATAGGATGGAGTACGGACTCAGAGATTTGTCCAAGAGAAGTTGTTAGACCTTGGAGAAAGCAGTTTAGATAGAGTGGAGAAAGTAGAGACTCTAATGAATGGGATTCAAGATGAAGCTGGAAAAAGAGGTCAAGGCAACAGATGCAGGTGGTGATCAAGAGAAGAGAAATAAATTTGTATCTGAAGTGGTAGCTAGAGTTACAAGATAGACAAGCATAATATGTGGGAAGTTTACATGCATAAATATCATAATAAAAATATTTTTATATATAATGTGTAGTATATAAAATGTATACATTATGATTCTCTTTGTATCTAATCCCTAGTTGTGAAGATTTCTATCCATTGTTGTTATCTACTAGGAAAAAGTTAGATTTTCCTGAATAGTTCTTCTGCTTTTACAAATTTTGGTGTATTTTTCTCCATTCTTTTGTTATACGTTAAAGACTAGGGCCTGGTTTATCCTTGTGCTTGAGCTGGACTTCACACTTGATCTGGTTGGTGAATTGGGCTCTATATAGATGGTGTATTTTCTGGTTTCACTCGTGAGCAAAACTAAAGCAATTTCAGTGGTCCCTTAACTTGAGACTGACTCACTGAAGGGGTCTCAGTGGTAGGAAGTAGTGGAAGCCATGTTGTTATATTGGCCACAAACTCTTTTCCTCAAAGATACCCCCCGTTAAGCTCCATATACTAGTGAAAGTTGTAGGGTGAGACAACCCCCAGCACTTCTTGGAGATTTCCTAACACCATAACAATTCCCCACTGGTTAGTGATAACATCTTCCCCTTTCTTCCCGCAAATAGTGTAAGACAGCTCTTAGTTGGTCCCATAACTATAGTTTTTGCATTCTGTAGGGACTGTATATTTTGACCATTTCAGGCACCTGTCAAATGTGAAAGCATGAAAACGATTGTTTTCTTGTTGTGAATACATGGTGAAAGCAAGAAAATGACTAATTTCTTTCTATTTTAACATCCTTTTCCTAACAAGAAGATAAAGTCCCCTGTAATTTTGAAGCCCCTTGCATTGATTTCCACTCTATGATTGAGCTGTTTTCCTCAGGTTTTATGCTGATCGTGTTGAACCTATGACACAGTCGCAGAAGAGACATGCTTTCTGTTTGATCATTTGAAAATGCTTAAAAGGGTCTCTGCTTTTTCCTAGAAGAAGATGGTGAAGAAGTAGCCTGTACTCAGAATGGTCAGATGTATCTGAACAGGGATATTTGGAAGCCCTCACCATGCCAGATTTGTGTTTGTGACAATGGAGCCATTCTTTGTGATGAGATCCAGTGTCAAGATGTGCTCGAATGCGAGAACCCTCAGGTGCCACCAGGAGAATGTTGCCCTGTGTGTTCCCATACATCACGTAGTTTTGATACTAATGTTGGTAAGATGGCTTTTTATTCCTTATTTTAACCAAGAACTGAACTTCTGAGTGGTGTTATGTATAATGTGGTAATTTGAGATGGATGAAGGAGAGGGTGTTCAAATCCAGATATGCCCAACACTTTGGAGTTTAAGTGCAGCTGAAAACCAGTGCTGAGGTTCAAGTTTAATAAATATATTCTCATAGGATTTCAGCTCATATCATGTTATTCTTACAAAGTTTCCACAATTTGGGACTGAAATCTAATGCGAATGATTGTGAGATCTTTTTTTCCATTTTGGATTGCACTTAAACTGAATTTGGAAAACAGTTTCCCTTCTGGGTCTAATCCGCCCCCCCCCCCCCCCCCCC